GCTTTGGATTCTGTTAAGGCTTGCTTTATGGCCTAATATGTGGTCTATTCTGGAGAATGTTCCATGTGCATTGGAAAAGAAAGTATACTTGGCTGCTATTGGGTGGAGTGTTTGGTATATATCCATGAGATCAAGTTGGCTGATTGTAGCATCTAGATCTTCCGTGCCTCTACTGAGTTTCTTTCTGGATGTTCTGTCCTTCACTGAAAGTGGTGTATTGAAGTCTCCTACTATGGTTATGGAGCTATCTCTCTTTTTAATGCTGTTAGAGTTTGTTTTATGTATTTTGGAGCACTGTCACTGAGTGGTAAATATTTATTATAGTTATGCCCTCGTGCTGTATTGACTCTTTAATCATTCTATAGTGTCTATTTTACTTTAAAGATTAATATTGCCACTCCTGCTCTTTTCTGAGTGTTGTTTGCTTGATATATTTTTTTCCATCCTTTGGGTTTTAGTTTGTCTGTGTCTTTTAAGTCTAAGGTGCGTCTCTTGTAGGCAGCATATAGACGGATCATGTTTTTTATCCATTCTGCCACTCTCTGTCTCTTTACTGGTGCATTTAGTCCATTTACATTCAGCATAACTGTTGATAGGTACGCGTTTAGTGCTGTCATTTTGATGGCAGACCTGTTTTTTAAGGAAGATTCTAGCCCTGAATCATGAGTTAGTTCCTCAGTCCACTGGTATACTGAGGTGGGTTGTCTATACACTCATGTACCTATTTTGGTTTGATAGTTATTGGCTAAGAAGCCCAGGTGGTGCAATGGTCAAGTACTTGGCTGCTAATCCGCCAGCAGCTCTGCAAAGAAAAGATCTGGCAATCTGCTCCCATAAAGTTTATAGCCTAGAAAATCATATGGGGTAGTTCTACTCTGTCATATAGGGTCACTATGAGAAGCAATCAACTTGACAGCACACAACACCACCACTTATTGGCTAACTTGGAGTTTACATGTCTCCAAACTAATAAAAGAGCTTTTCTACTTCTGTTATGAAAATATGAATTTTTCAGGAACAGATATAAATCATAACTCTGGCAAACAACTTTAATGAATTTTGCTTTATTTTAGAGAATTAATTTTTATATTTCTAATTTCACTGTGTGATCTTTCCCCCATTTTTTATTTCAAAATACTCAAAAGTATTCTGAGAAAAGCCTTCTCATAAATCCTCTCAATTATATAAGCCAACATTAGAAGGACTTGAAACCTAATTACCTTTTTGAAATTTCTCTGCTCAGGAGTAAAGATGAGAAAAAAATTGGAATATACTCTAATACTGGTGTAGAATAGGCTGTGAAGAAGGGCTGTATTATATATACATAAACATGCTAATCTTATTTCTTGATGAATTTGGTAGCTTAGTATACCAAGTTAAAGGTGATCTGTGACACTAGAGGAATGTTAAAAAAGAAAAGGCTTCTTTGTAAAGGCATGGAGGGTTAGAGATGGCTTAGTGTCTGGTCCTAAAAGGCAAGAGGATGGAAGAAGAATGAAAAGCCAGCAAAGTAAACTGAAGTAGGGGGTCATTTCATTAAAGTAGGGTCATGTTGAAATTTTTAGTGGACCCTCAATGCCCAGAAAGAATTCCTTAAGCCTGATTATCTAAGAATCCTTGGAGTACTAGTTCTCAAATGAGGAACGATATCAGAATTATCTGAATGTATTTTAAAGAAACTAAAACAAAACTAGCATTCCAAGCACAGTAATAAAGTTCAGTAGGTTCCTCAAACTAAACTAAGGAGTAATCAACAAGGCTTTGGTGGAAGAGTTCCCAAAAAAGAGGGAGGTGTAGGGGTGGGGGGTGTGGGGGGTGTGGGTGTGTCTGTAGGGGAAGAATTCATTCCAGGCAAGTAACACAGAGGCAACAATCAGAACTGCAGAACAAGGATACAGTGTATATTATAATAACACTCCACTGAATACTTCCTGCATAAAACCTTTCTTGTATTAAAATTTTCTTAGGATGGATTCTCAGAGGCTTAATAACTGAGACAAAGGGTTTGATCTTGAACTTTAAGCTTGTTACGTATTCTTAAACTGCTTTCTGTAAGAATTACACTACCCTGTCACACCACCAAAACCCAAAAAACACCAAACCCATCACCACTGAGTCGATTTACGATTCATAGCGACCTAGGACAGAGCAGAACTGTCCCACAGCATTTCGAAGGAGCGCCTGGTAGATTCGAACTGCCAGCCTTTTGCTTAGCAGCCGTAGCTGTTAACCACTACGCCACCAGGTTTTCTATACCACCAGCAAGTATGAAAATACTGTTTTATTCTTTCACTCTCCAGCATTCCATTAATTTTATAAAACTCTGCTAATTCAATACACCCATTCCTCACTTATCAACATGCTTAGGTTTCAAAGACCAGGTCGTTAATGCAAAAATGGAGGATGGCCACATCAGATCATAAAATGGGTCATTATATAATTGCCAGATTATATCATTCCATAACTGCCAAACCACTGGGAATCATGACCCAGCCAAGTTAACACATAACCTTAACCAACGCAGCCAGTGTTACTCTGGCCCCACACCTGGGCATTCGTTACTGCCAGACATAGGTCACTAATGGGCAAAATAGTCAGATAGCAGATTTTTTTTACTATTGTCGTAAATGTGAAATGTCGGATAATGAGATAGTCAGTAGGTGAGAAGTAGGTGTAATTAAGTTTTAAAATCTAAAATTTATAATTGTTTTAATGAGTTGAACTTTTTTGCCTATGCTATTGTATTTATTCTTAAATAAATTTAATTCATGGTCTTTATTTTTAAGAAGCTATAAATACGTTTTTCTCAATTTTTTTTTTTTTTTTTTTAGTTTGTATTAAGTGTTCTTTGAGGCTTTTTGGTGCTTCTTATAAAGGTTTTAAATTTTCATATAAATAAATATTTAATTTCTTTGTGATTCAGAAGTTCCTCTTTCCTCCAGAGAACTGATAACCAATTTTTCCTATAGTTTTTCTATTGCTGGATTTTAAAAAATATTTACCTCAATCCACAGGAAATAGTTTATATGCACTGAAAATTTAAACTTAGTTTTCCCAAAATGATTAGCAATTTTCTAGTAGGATTACATACTAAAAAATCTTTCCCCTATTAGTCCAAAGGACTAATGGACCACAACTACCACGGCCTCCACTAGACTGAGTCCAGTACAACTAGATGGTGCCCAGCTACCACCAATGACTGATCTGACCGGGATCACAACAGAGGTACCAGACAGAGCTGGAGAAAAATGGGGAACAAAATTCTAACTCACAGAAAAAGACCAGACTTACTGGTCTGACAGAGACTGGAGGAACCTCGAGAGTATGGTCCCCGTACACCCTTTTAGCTTAGTAATGAAGTCACTCCTGAGGTTCACACTTTAGCCAAAGATTAGACAGGCCCTTAAAACAAAACAAGACTAACGGGGCACAATAGCCCAGGGACAAGGACTAGAAGACAGGAGGGGACAGGAAAGCTGGTAATAGGGAACCTAAGGTTGAGAAAGGAGAGTGTTGACATGTTGTGGGGTTGTTAACCAGTGTCATAAAATAGTGTATGTACTGCTTAATGAGAAACTAGTTTGTTCTGTTAACCTTCATCTAAAGCACAAAAAAAAAAAATCTTTCCCCTTCTCAGTGAAATGTGATCCCTTATTTACCATACACTCAAATCTTATGTAGAACAAAGACTGTTGTTATTGGCTGCCGTGGGGTCGGTAAGAGTAATTCTATTCAATAATCTATTTTTGCATTAATATGTTTTAGTGTCTGGTAGATTAATTCTCCTTTATTACCCTTTATAATTCAAAATTTGCTTTTTTCATGTTATTTTTTTTCAAACCAAGTTTTCAAGCACCCACCCTCCCACAATTCCACTAAATTTTTACTAATATTAAAGCTTTAATTTATAAAGATCATGCATTTTTTTATAATACTCATTTCTCATCAAAATATGTGTTTTCATCGCTCTTAATAAAGTGTTATCATTTTCTTCTTATAGATCAACTGTGTGTCTCAAGATTATTCCAAATTTTCAGATTTCTGTGGCTCTCAGGAATGGCATTTTCTTTTCACTGTATTTTCTAACTTGTAACTGCTGGTATAGTGTTACTGCATTGACTCTGGTCTTTTATCCCAACACTTCAGAGAACTCTTATAATTCAAAAAATTTTTAATTCACTCAGTTTAAATGAGGTTACAGAAGGTTTCACATTGGATGGAAGATAAAGGGGAAAGGCCATATTCCTATTAATTAGTTTTGCCAATTTTAATTTCTTATTACGATAAAAAAGGGAAATGACAAATACTTGTATATATACAAAGTCACATGGTGTGGCTTTTGTTAACTCCTTTCTAAGAGTACATTACGTAGAATATAAAATTTTTGTCTTTAATTTCAAATATCTCTTTGGGAAAGTAGTGCAGCCATTTTAGAAATTATGTCACCAGCTCTAAATTATAAAGCTACCATCACCCTCCAAACAAGAACAGACATTTAAAATTACTCAGAGCATTGTATTCATAAAGCTACCATCAGCAGAAACTCAAATTCTTTAAGGGTTAACTATTAAAATAAAAAGAGCTTTCTTGAAGGGCCACCTCTAACTCAATGGGATCTTTTCCTTGCTCTGTGAACAGTACCAGAAGTAAATGAGTCACAAGGCATTAAAACTGTCACTTCAAATAACAAGTTTCCCAATAGTTAGTTCTATTTTGAGCTACAGATTATTAAGGATTTATTTTTAATAACACAATGATTATCTCTGAATATTAAAGCAGTTTCAGATTTTATCTGTAAAATGGCTATCATTTGTTTGCCCTGTTAAAAATCCAGTGTAATTTATCCATAAAACATTTAAATATTTTCAAGAATCTTCTCCACATTAAGAAAACATAACACCAATTATACCTTCACTTCTTTTTCCCAAGTCTTAGCAAACAGAAATATAATCTTTCAAATCAAAATGTTAAAGTTATCATTTCAAATTAAAACTGCTTACCATGATACCACCACTTTGTTTTCTTTGGATTCTTGTTACATGTTCGAACATAAAAAGAATTATCTGGTGGTCGTCTCTGAAAAAAATCAAAAAGAGTTTAAATAGATAAATTAAGAAGTTGTAAAGTAGAAAGAATAAGGAGGGAGGTAGTTTTAATAAAAGCTTAAGGAAAATTATTAGAGAATACATTTGAAAACAATATAAAAGCTGATGACATAACAGAAAGAGTAAAAACTACAATATATTCCAGGAAATGTACAGACTCTTAAAACCTAAATTGTTCCACTATACGGGGTATGATTTGATTGGGTTCCAGTGAAATCACTAGAGAACAGCTATCAACCAAAAGTGGCAGCATCGAGTTGTAAAAAATTTTGTTTTCATTTATCTTGCTCCTTCTGAGAAATAATTTAATAATTACTTTTATAAACTAATTAAAACAGAAAAATATACCTAACTAGGTTTGTCTGAGAAACTATAGCAACTTATAAACCTCTATAAAGGATTATTTTATAATGAGATAGTGTGCTTAAGAACAACCAAAGGATTCAGTTTCCAAACAATACAGAAGAGGAAAGGAGGAGAAATACATACACTGGCATTTCTGCAATTCATATCCTTGACTAACATAAATGAAAGACACATGGTAGCAGCTCTGCAAGGGAGCTACATCAGATACAATGTCATCAACAACACTGAACACAAATCCTGGAAGACAATTTTTCCAAAAAAGTGACCAGAACACAAGAAATATGTAACTCTTTACAAAGATTTGGGCAACATGTAAAATTTATGTTAAAGTTACTGAGGGCAGGTTTGTAGATAATATCTAATAGATATTAGACACAGTCTTCTTTTTGTCTCTTTTCAGGACCATTCTGACCAATAACTTGATTATTCTTATCCTTAAATATTTTTTAGTGTCTAGTCATCTTTTCAGACTTAATCAACTCTGTTTAGCCAAGCTAATGAAGGTGAGAAACTGGGAGCTTTCCTGTACCTGAGACTAACCCAAAAGCAGTGAATGTGGTAAGATATTACTTAAGGAAGGTCCGACCAGAAACTAATGGTAAGGAAGACTACCGAAGTAGCAGGCAGTCCACTTGGCACTTCTAAAAATCATGTAAAAAAAAACTATCATCTTAGTTGATTCTCATAATGTCCTTGTAAGTTAATATTAGTAATTTAATTTAATAAAAGAGAACATAACAGAACAAGAGATTAAAACAACTACTCTAAGATTAACTTGTTGATACAATTTGAGAAAGAAGCCCTGGTGGCACAATGGTTAGGCACTCAGCTGTTAACCAAAAGGTTGGTGGTTCAAACCCACTCAGCGGCTCCACGAGAGAAAGATCTGGCAATCTGCTCCCATAAAGATTATAGCCTTGAAAACCCTATGGGGCAGTTCTACTCTGTCACGTGGGATTACTCTGAGTTGAAAATCAACTCGATGGCACCTAACGACTACAACAATTTGAAAAAATTCCTGAAAAATTAATATTATGAAAGTAGATGCCTATTTCGAAGAATAGAAAGATGATCCTCTCTGTTACTTGTCCTGCAAAGTCATAATCTGTGGTCAAGAGGAATAAATTGCTACTACTATAGCAAGTAATTTCATAAACTCATTTTGTTTATATATGGATTAGAACCCAAGAACCATTGGAAAACAGCCATCAAAACATAAACATTTAAGAAAGAAAATATGCTTCATTCGATTTTCTTAAATCAAGACTATAACCAAACTGGTAAGTGATCAGAGGTATACGGTTCTTAAAAGAATAAAGTTGTTTCAGGCATGGAATACAAGCTGGAAAAACTGGACAAGTTTATTATAAGGGTACTGAGAACAAAGGGTTAACTGCTGAAACGCTTCTTGTATCAACATCAGAAGTATCTTTAATGACTGATACGCTGAATTTAAATGTCTTCACCTTAGAAAGTCACTCCTCATTGTGAAGAAGCAAAATGGAGTGAAAGAGTTACAACTAAGTCCAAGTCCCCAAATTCCATAGTAAAAAATAAAGTTCATATTCAAAGACAGTCAACTCTTAAAGTGAAACCCACAGAACCACGTCCACCACAGAATAAAATCTGCCTGCTTTAACAGTACAACGTTAGGTGAACATTTAAAGGCCTTCTTAAAGCTTAGTTAGAGCTAGAACCCTTAACATCTAAGAAAGTCTCCTCTCCATTTTTATAACCTAGCACAGCACACAGTAGGTACCTAATTTTTAACCCTATTTCACAGATCTAATCTGCCAGAATTCTGACTTTCAGAGAGTATTATCATGGTTAAACATATAATAATTCTATTAAGAATATAGCTTACCAATAATTTAAATGGAATGATTAGTCTTATACTAAGTATGCAAGAACCACCAGTAGCAGACAACTAGAATGTGAGTGGAATGATGAGGGTTACAGAAGGATGAGGATGTACAGAACATAGTTCTCCAGCTTTTAATAGTAAATCATTACACTTAAATGTAAACAGAAGCCAATAATCACAAGGCACATGCAAGAGCTATGTGCAGACTTCACTGGAGTTCATCTCTAATAACTTCTCTTATTAAATCCTATTGTTACATTCTCACCTTTCTGCAGTCATTAGACATAGCAGGAATACAGAAACCCTTGTAAACACAAACAGCTCTGCCCTACACCTAAAAGTTTAAAACCTACATGTGTGTTGGGCGAAGTGAGAGAAGACACTGAAGCAGCAAATAAATACAATTTAACCCAGCATTTGCCATGCTTATTGGAACAAATCTTTTTTAAACCTAACACCAAGAAACCTCTATGAAACAAAAGTCCCAAGAAACCACTTTGGGAAGCAGCAGCTCAGAGTGTTTCAGATCCTAGATAACCTACCATTTTAAAATGAACTACTATCTTAAATGTTCTCTAAGTACTAATTTAATATAAAAGTGTCAATCTGATCAATTTGAAGAAAAGGGAAAAAAATGCTTTAAAGAAAAAAAAAAGACAATTCCCTAATTCCTAAGGTAAATACGTTACTCCTTTAAATAGCATACAAAAGGCAGCCCTCATAGTGGGCTGTGGGGTCCATGGTCTTTGGGAACATCTAGCTCAATTGGTATAACATAGTTTATAATGAAAATGTTCTACATTCTACTTTGGTGAGTAGTGTCTGGGGTCTTTAAAGCCTGTGAACAGCCATCTAAGATACTCCACTGGTGTCACCCTGGCTGGATCAAGGGAGAATGAAGAAAACCAAAGACACAAGGGAAAAATTAGTCCAAAGGACTAATGGATTACAAGTACCACAGCCTTCCTGAGACTGAGTCCAGAGAACTAGATGGTGCCTGGCTACCACCACCAACTGCCCAGACAGGGATCATAATAAAGGGTCCCAAACAGAGCTGGAGAAAAACGTAGCACAAAATTTTAACTCAAAACGAAAAAAAAAAGACCAGAGTTACTGGTCTGTCAGAGACTGAAGAAATCCCAAAAGTTGACCCCCAAACACCCTTTTAGCTCAGTAATTAAGTCACTCCTGAGGTTCACCCTTCAGCCAAAGATTAGGCAGGCCCATAAGACAAAATGAGGCTAAATGGGCACACCAGCCCAGGGGCAAGGACGAGAAGGCAGGAGGGGACAGGAAAGCTGGTAATCAGAAAATGTCAAAAAGGGGAGTATTGACATGTCATGGAGTTGGCAACCAATGTCACAAAACATGTGTGTTAACTGTTTTATGAGAAGCTAGTCTGCTCTGTAAACCTTCATCTAAAGGACAATAAAAAATAAAAAATAAAATTTTTTTTTAATTTAACAAAAAAGTGCAATTTGAAAAAAATATTACTAATTAAAAAAAAAAAGAAAGCAAGCCCTCACAGAGAAAAGAGAATTTAAAATGTAGAAATACCTGAATATTATGCCACACTAACCCTCAAGTTAAGTAAAGTAACAACGATTGTGAGGATGGTGCAGGACCAGGCAGTGTTTCATTCTGCTGTACACAGGGTCGCTATGAGTCGGAACCGACTCCACGGCATCGAACACCAACAACCCTCCAGCAGGAAGAACACAGGACCAGAAATGCACAAAGAGAACTCAGACGACTTTCAGAGGTATTCTAAATTTACATAACTCATGTGATTTCTGGTCTTCCCCCCGCCCCACCACACACAGAATCTGTGGAGTAGTAAAGGAAAACAGAAGAAAGAGTCCTTAAAATTCTGCTCCTAAACCGGCCCTCCTCCTTCAACCTAATCATTACCATAGGAAAGCTCTGGTTCCTGGGTGATCCCCTAAGAGCAGCTGATTGAGTGGGAGCCAGCCAAGGGAAGAAGGGAGCTATGATGCTTGTTCCTTGAGCCTTCCACTGTGAAATCTAGAAACCAGAGTATCTTGTACACTTCTGCCCTGTGTATCCTTATGGAGATAAAATTCAGATTTAAGAACATCTGCACAAATACCCTGTTTAAGAAACATAAAACAGTAAGACTGACTTCTAGCCCACGTAACATTTAAATCTTCTATTTAGAATGAAAGATTATCAAAATAATTTTCCAAATTATTACTAAATACAACATCCTCTATCATTTTACAATAAAAACAATAAGTCTTTCCTTCAAATAAAATTAATTATACATTAAAATAGTTTATCTACCTAAACTGAAAGAAAAACTGTTACCTGGAGTAATTCTGAAAAGTCCTACCTTTTCTTTGCAGCTGGACAGCATGCTAATAATGCTAAGACAGACTGACTGGACTGAGAGCGCTGGGGACCAGTCTTCTGTGAGAATGGATAAACAGATATGACCATTGCTATAAACATGAGGATGAACGGGAATATTTTCACCAGTAAACATGACCTAAGAAAGAATAACATTCCATTAACACTCAAATATTCTAGATTACAAAAAACTTAAATATTCTCCACATATAAGTATTGATTTTTAAGAGCAAAAACAAACACAGAGCTAGGAACAATGTAAACAACTCTTCGTTGTTTTTTTCCTCATTAACTCAGTAAGTATTGGTTTTGCTATATAAATAACCAAGGGGGGGGGGGGGGGGGGGCGGGGGGGGGGGGGGGGGGGGGGCTGCCGGAATATCTATTTCATATTTCAGCTATTTTAGACAAATTACCTTTAAAATTTTCTAAATTACTATGTAGTTTCAGACTAGTGAGCAACAACTACATTTACATGAATGTTTTTTCAAATTCTACTCAGCGCTGTCTGCATATAAAAATCAAATACAGTAAAATTCCAAACGAAAGTATTCCATCTTGAGACAGCATGAATTACAAGTGATAGGAATACACCTACCACCTGTGACAACGCTAGCATATAAGGCGTGCTATGCAAAAGGACACAACTGCTGTATATTCCACCTCCTCTGAACTCATACGTCCATGATGATGAGCACAACATCAGTATTTATTAATCAGCAAATAACTATGTGCCTCGATGGAAAAAACAAAGATTGAATAAGTCTCCCAATTACTCACTGTTTTGCTCTTTCCTTTTGCTTAATTTTTCTAATACTGTTTTCCCCTTCTCTATCTTGCCTCAGCACGGTTTTATAAGGCAATAAAACTATTATTTCCTTCCTTTGCCCTAATAATTCAAATATTCCAACAGCAGTGTTTCCTAAACATATTTATGTAAGCATCTAATAGGTAGAGTAAATTCATGTATCCTCAGGAATCTGTAATGCATAACCCAAGGTAGGTCAAAGCAAGCATTTAGTCTTATATTCAAGAATTTATACATACATGCTACTCCATAATACTAAACTGTTTACTTTGATATAAAAATTTTATTTGACTTAACCCACCCATCTTTAAATAAAGTTTATTTAAATAATAATAAAGTAAGATGCACCATATTTAGTCTGTGGTTCAGTAGTAATTTCTAATTCCTAAGCTGGCCATAAAATAAATCACCTGAAGATCTGGCTAAAAATACAAACTCAAGGGCCTCAGTTTCACAGATTCTAATTCAGTAGGTATGATGAAGTTTTTATAAAGCTCATCAGATGTAAGTCAGTGGTTCCCAAACCAGACTTACAAACCGCCTCACACCCAACAAACATAGCAAAGTATCAGTAAAGAGAAAAATTCTACCTTAAGTTATGATAAAATTGATGAAATATGTATTACTCTAGAAATACCTTTTTTTCCTTTACAGAGCAGAAAAGAAAGCAAGTGAAATAAGGATGGTCAGAGTAACGTATGTCACAGCTGAATATGGGATGTTGTGGGAAATTATCACAAGGTAGGTTTTTGTTTTTAAATACCTAGCTACAAAATTTTAATACAATTTTACAAATATTTACATTTTAACAAGGTAATCTTTCACACAAGAGGGGGTCTTCTAATATTTCAAATATATTATTAACATACGGGACCTCATCGTGTTGGTTGAAGCTAATACAAGACAGCAAAAGGAATTTTCTTTTGTCAAAGGAATGGCTATACACTTGCATTTTTTATTTTCTTTAAATTTTGGCCATCCACCCCCCACCTCCCAACACACACAAATAAAGTTGAAAAGTGTAAGTATAAAGGAAATATAAAGCCACTAGTTCTTCTCAATTGCAGAAGACCACCTGAAACGAGTTTGGCTTTGGCATGGCTGTGTTCTAAGCATTCTACTTATCTCTAATTATATAAGTGTTGTTGTTGTTAGGTGCTGTCCAGTAGATTCCACTCACAGCGACCCCATGTGACAGAGCAGAAACAGATTAGAACTGCCCAACTGGGTTTTCTTGTCATTTTACAGGAGAAGATCACAGGTCTTTCTCTCCTGCAGTGCCACCGGGTGGGTCTGAACTGCCAATCTTTCAGTTAACCTCCGAGTGCTTAACTTTTGCCCTCTTAATCACTTTGCTAAAATGATACATTAAGAAGCATGACATTTTCCTTTGTATTGTAAACTCAAGGAAAGGAATTATGTGAACCACTTGTAATGAAGATGGCACCTAAGGTGCTGTTATGCAAAAGGCAATGACTGCTTAAAGGGCCTTACAGTTCCACACTTAAAATCGATCCACAATTATTTTTAATTAAATTTTCTTTTTTATAAATATGAATTATAGTTTATTACATCATACGCATTTGATACTCCCACAATGTGTTGCAGATGTCTACAACAGGAGTTTATAAATGTCACAGAATATGGATTTACTCTGGGCTATTCATTTTGCCACAAAAAGTCATTAGACCAATGGGATCTATTTTGTTAAGCTGCTTTTAGGAAGAACACAAGCAACGTCTGAGAGCTTATTCCCTGGCCATGATGGTTTTTTAAAGGATGTTTTCCCTCAACGAGATCTCTTTATCAAGAAGTCAAGTAGAATAGTGCTCTGAAGGTGCCAAACAATGAAGAACGGCCAATCATCTTCTTTGACAAAAAGAAATCAGGGTATTAGCACCCAGCAAGGAAAATACACAGACCAACCAAAGACAAAGGTTATCCCAACATGCTTTGACTAGCCAATTTGCTGAGCAGAAGGAAAGCAGCATTATTCTTAGCAGAAAATGGTTATGAACTAAATCACCTGCCCTGTGAGCCAAGAAGTACGCATGAACCGAAAAGGAAATCAGGAGACAAGAGAAAGAAAAGCCTTGAATGGCCAACAGCAGAAGACACCTAGAGCAGAAGCAGCAGATATCCCATAAGCAGAGAAGAGAGCCAGAAGACAAAAACAGCTTTGCAATCCAAAGGGACAGAAATAAAAATAAATCAGATCTCAATAACCCTCAAAGCAGGGGCTTTTTACGCATGCTGCGTGCAGGGCAAATGTAGCCAGCCCAAACTCAGCAACCAAAACCAGGAATTTCGTTAGTTGCACGTATCATAGGCCCTCTAGGGCCTAACCTGCCACATACAGAATTTTAGAAGTTTGTCTAAACATAGAAAAGCTGAGTTTACATGCCAGAGATGAATACCTGAAATAAAAGAAAAAAATGTTTTTCAACAGTTTATTCATGTAAAAGGCTGGAAAGCACAGTTGCCACAGTTTTGGAGTAAATTCTGCTATTATGTTTCTCTACGGGATGTGATGCAGACAGTCATCAAGGCTGAATTTCTTCAAGCTCATGCTCTTATCGATCCTCATTTAGTTAATAATCAGTACAAGCCAAAGGAGAAAATGGAGACTTTCGTTATTTTAATGCAGTTACGTTAGTTCTGAAAACATGAGATTAAGCTATTTCCAAAGTGATACATAACAAGGCAACTCAATACAATGAATCTGAAGCCACAGGGAATGAGAATTTTGCTCAATTACTCAGATTCAAACTAGTCATATAAACAGTTAATGACTGGAGACTGCACACATTCCCCACTGCATAAACCACACTGAGTCAAACAGAAGTATACATTTTGAAGAACAAGCTATTTGATGGAATTTGATGGAAGTTCTAATTTTAGAAAAAGATCTTAGACCTAACACATGTGAATCATGTTTGAAATTCTATCTCTGTACTAGCAGCCCTCAGGATATCTCTCAATTTCAAACATCTATCAGTGTGGTTCTTTTTCAAGAGCAGGGGAGAGATAAGAGAGAACTAATGCTCAGGATTTCTCATAATTTTGAAGGTATATATGCATATCCCATATCCAACCTAAAATTTTAAGCAGGCCAACCTCTGGGTTGGATCAATTCAGTACTGTGAATCCAGTCTTTACTAAATCTCTGTAATGTTCGTAAGAACAAAATAAAGGGTGGAGATTAGGTAACTGCTTCTAACATGAAATTCATGGTACTGATACATGAAGATTTTCAAACATCAAGCCCAATACTGAAAAACCGTATAATACTGAGGTCTTATCACAAGGAAGGCTACGTTCAGACTATGTTCAAACTAACGGTCTGGAGACAGTTAGAAAGTCAGACACTGTAGAATGGTGTCCAGACAGGTCAGAACACAGGTGAATACTTAATATGTGCACAAGGAGCAATACAAAGCAGACTGGAACTGTAAAAGCCAATCTACACTGTGGACAACAAGGTTTCTCCCTAGATCACACGAGAAAATGTTCTCTGCGTGAAATTTTCAGATTACAATAAAGGACACCTATAAAAACTGAACACACACATAGAGACTTTACTGTTGTAAAGATATGAATCGGATATTTAATTATGTTTAATATAGAACATACGTAGTCTAGCATAAATGGTAAATACTTGACAGAAGTGACTGGGAGTTGGTATTTTAGCATAGTTTTCAATTCAGTTCTCCCCTCAGTCCTCTAATATGTATCAACAGCATCAATACTAAGTTTTCCCTGGTACTCCGTAACTACCACTACCATGCAAAAAATTCCTGGATACAATGCAACGAGACACGGATTCCGTTGGATAGTAACCGTTCTCTCCCCTTATACTCTGTGTTATTCTGGCCTACCAGTCTTCTTTATCTCCCATTTCCCCCCTAAGGCTTTAATGAATTGACTTCACTGTTCACTACCTCCTCATCAGGTGTCCTAGATGCTAGACAGTTTAAGGCAATAAAAATTGTTACTCAAGATTTTGAAAGCTTGACCACCACATGAAATGCCCCCCGCTCCCCCAAGAAAACACCAAACCTATTGCCATCAAGCTGATTCTGACTCATAGCAACCCTGTAAGGGCAGAGTAGAACGGCCCCGTAGGGTTTGCAAGGCTGTAAATCCTTATGGAAGCAGATTGCCACATCTTTCTCCCATGGAACAGCTGGTAGGTTCAAACTGCTGACCTTTCAGGTAGCAGCCAAGCACTTTACCCACTGCACTACCTGGGTTCCTACCACATGAAAGGGCAGGGACAATTGGCTCCAAAATATCCTTCCACTCTCATTTCCTACTATATAGTCTTCCAC